TCTCCACCACATTCACCCAGGAATAAATGCATGTTCTCTTATGCTCTCCTATTGTGTGTGCAGGAGTTCTGGTGGCATAGTGCCTAAGGCATCTGACTGCTGGCCAGAAAGCTGCCCACTCCAGGGGCAACTGGTCTCATTGCCACCTGGACCCCCTTAATCTTTAGCACTCAACTTTCTTCCCAATTAAAACGCTCACAGGAGCCTGGAGACCAAGTCCAGGCTCTCAAAGCACACAGCAGGATCGATGACAGTAGCTTCAAACACAGGCCTAGTCAGTATGGATGACCTCTCCCACCCCAATCCCAGGTGCTACATCTGTTCCTTGACCAATTGGTGGCACAAGCATCCCAAATCACGCCAAACGTGCCGCGTGTGGTGAACATGTTCTCACTAGATGTGGAACTGGACCGAAGATGCAACATGGGTTATTCATCTTAATACCAAAATTCTTGTGTAGATGTCAAAATGTGAGTGTGATTTCCAGCAATTTCAGCATTGATTCTGAAAATCAATGTGTACTGAAAATTTATATGTATTCAGAAAACATTTTTCATGAACAGATAGCCTGGCAATGGGTGATTAATTCTTACACAGTAAATGATGGGAGGGTTTTTGGCTACTAAACGAAATTTGTCAAAATGTTTATGGAGTAATGCAAAACTGATACACAATAGTCTCAAGGAAACCAAAACACATTGAATAGCTTGAATGTGGACCAAGAAATGGCAGAAAAAGGTAAATATACACAAACGTAGATAACTATAAATTTAGTTTACTCTGGTTTATTGGAAACTTCACAGTTTTCCAAAAGACTGACAGGTTTTGTGTTAATAAATCAAACAGTGAAAACAAACAGTTTAAAAGATATCATCAATCTTTTATTTAACTAAGCACAGCCCTTCATTTTGAAGGAAATGATACAATTTTCAATCAGAACTTCCTTCTCAAGAAGTGGAGTGAGAATGTAACATTGATTTAACACACAACCTTCAACAAAAATAAAGTTTATGTAATTCATGGGGAAATGAAATGCAAGTGGCATTTATCCTGCAAGTCGATGAAATTCTCCAAAGGTCACAAGTATTACAGACAACAAAATGATACAATGTGAAGATGAATAAACCAGTGAAGTTTATAGTTACCCTGATTTTTTTTTTTTTTTAGAAATTCACAAATAAAATGTAACTTTCCAAAGGAATCCATCTGTAATGATCACACTAGATTATTCTAATTTCTATTAAAAAAAAAAAGTTCAGACACAGAATAGTAAAAGTCTTTGACAGTGAATATCATTTTGTTAAAAAAAAAAAAAAAAAATAGAAAACAAGTAGTCCTTAAATTTTCTTAGCTCTCCATAGCATATGTCATATAAAAGTAAAGTTTTGCTTCCAAAAATATGTTTCCATGTAGTAGTGGTGCTGTCTGAGGGTGCAATTAGGGCCAGAAGCACCAAAGACAGGAGAAGTATAACCACTAAGTGTTATTTATTTTTTGTTTTTTCATAAAAACTAAAAATTTCTTTAAAGGTCCAGAGTAGAGTCTTCTGCTAGCTAGGAGTTTTAGTGCTACAAAGTCATTTTTAAATTAAATGTGGAATAAAATCTACAAAAAGTATGAGTTCTTTCGATACAAAAAGCTGTGTTGCTCAAGTTGGGGGCTCCTCTGACCTACATAAGCAGTCTCAATAAAATATTTGCTCAGGTAAGAAAATAGAATTTGTCTGATTTCATTTAGCTTACATTTCAATGGGGTGTCCTACTTATCCGTAACTGCCAGGGCCTCTGAACAACAGTAGCATCAGTATCTCTTTCCTTCAAAGAGCATCGGTGATTCACAGTACAAAATAGCACTAAGATTTTATTCCTAAGGAGAAACAGAAATTATTAAATATACTTATTACTTTTTTTTAAAGTGCCAGGTGTAGCCATTGCTGGGGTATTAAAAAGCCACTCATCCAAAACACTGCCATCTTGAGGACAGCCAGGAGTTGATTCGATTTCCCCTTTCTTGGAACCTTCATGGCTGCATTCCTAAGAAAACTTCATGGAGTTACTAAGTGTTCTGTATTTCCCATCCCTGGTACGCTGTGCAAATGTGTGAGAAAGCGGCACCTGGAATGAGTCTGCTTCTTATTGTAGTTCATCTTCCAGTTCTGGTACCACAGACCTCTTCTCTAGCAGCTGAACGCTACTAATGGGTGCAGACTTTATACCAGTCCTTCTTAGCTGAAACCTCTCAGAAAGAGCAGTCCACTTGTAACACAGGTAGCCACCGCAGTAGCCCAGTGCAAGGGGCCCTGGTGGCCCAATGGTTAAGTTCTTGACTGCCAACTGAAAGGTTGGTGGTTCAAAGCCACCAGTGGCTCCGTGGGAGGAAAAACACTGGCAATCTGTTCCCATAAAGATTACAGCCTAGAAAAATCACTGTGGGGCAGTTCTGCTGTCCCATGATGCTCACTGAGTTGAAATTGACTGGCCGGCACCCAGTAACATACCTCACCGTGACCAGACACTGATTCCTCACTTGGAGGGAAAGGAGGGGGAATAGGGGGCAGGAAACAGCTGGTTGGCCCAGACCTGTGGGACAGTGCTGTCCCACTCCACTCTCCTGCTATCTGCACATGGCCATTACTTTTTATTTCATGGCTGTGTTAAGAATAAAAGAAAATTCAGATTAGGTATAGTAACACCTCCCTCCAAAAAAAAACAAAACCACCAAACACCAACCAGCTGCTGTGGATTCTGACTCATGGAGACCTCATGTGTGTCAGCGTAGAACACAGAACTGTGCTCCACAGAGTTTTCAGTGGCTGAGTTTTTCAAAAACCAGGCCTTTCTTCAAAGGAACCTCTGGGTAGACCTGAAACTCCCACCTTTCAGTTAGCAGCCCAGCTCATTAGAGATTTATACAACCAAGGGGCTGTTAGGTACAGTAGGCTCTTTTAAATGTCTTAAGCCACATTTATCTTGCTCTTTTTCCATGAGCCAGAGAATATAAGTACAAAGCTGTGAGATGAAATGTACGAACTAGATAAAGAATCTACACTTCCAATAAGAGGTTTATTCTCCTCAAAAGCCCCAGCAGAACTGGAAAGTGGGTTTATCTTAAAAATGAACTCAGTAAGACCTGTCTGGTGATCACTGTGAACAGGGAATACAGCTCATGCCCTTGTTATGAAAAGATTTCCTTTTGAGGTGTTATGAAGGTCAGAGCTTTTAAGAACTGTGGCCTCAACTTCCAGGTTGGGGGAAAAAAAAAAACCAGCATACAAGAAAATCCTTCAAGTCTTGACTTGGGGATTTGACGCAAGGATCTCCAGGCAGGGAGCCAAAGGCTGGCTCTAGCTGTGGAATGCTCAGGTGTTCCAACTTTCAGAACTAGGTCACACAATGACTCGGACAGAGTTGTCTCTAATGACTCCCAAGGGGTAAAAAAGACCCCACACGCTTACTCAATGTCTGAAATCACAATTAACGACGCCAATGGGCACCAGTAGAAGCATTCTGGAATCCAGGCCAGACATCATTAAGGAGCTCACACAAAAACACTGGCCAGGTTGTAAAAATGTTTAAAGCTTTGTAGTCAAGCAAACAGAAACTCAGAGGCCAACCCAGATAGTATCAGCACAGCCTGCCACTATCAGCTCCCACAACCACCAGCCTATGCTTCAGTCACTGCCTCGTCAGGGGACATTTATTTATTTATGCCACGCCTCTTAGTGGGGGGAGCAATCAGAAGGGGCATTTTCTGATCAACAAGGACACTGCTGCAGGAAACAAGACTTGGCATTTCGAATTAAATTGTGCCAGGTATGGCTACCAAAGTAAGCATTTTACCACTGAACTAAGCTTCCAGCCTAAGATTTCACCACTAGCAAAACAAAAGCAGGAATGGGAAGCAGGGCAGAGATTGGGGGAAGGGGGGGTGTTGGATCTCAGGATCATCAATAAAACCATAAGCTTTATAAAGACTTCGCTTCAATGTTCAGGAAGGGGGGGTGCTGGGCAGAGATGAAAGGATTCTTGCCAAGGCAGCCCTGCATGGATGCTTCTATAGTGGGTACCTTATGGGGCGGCACCAGACAGCCCCATCTGCGACCAGCAGATGAACATACATAGCAGGTTTAATGACATCAGGGACACAAAGGACCAGTCCCTCCTTTGATAACAAATATCGCAGCTTTAAGTGCCTACCACAGCAGGAGAGACAAAGGCGGCAGACCAAACCCTTAATTGAATCCTTCCCTTCGCAGGCCCATGACAATGATTTACTTGTAACCTGGAAAGGGGTTGTGGAGCAGGAGACTCAGTAAGAGCTGGCTACTGAAAAGGAATGACTTGGGGACTGAGGGGAAGGAGGTAGCAAAGTCTTTGTAGCCCGAGTGTATGCAACTACTTGATACACTTAATAGAGGGCAGCTTGGTTTTTGTCTGCTGCTCCCAGACTGTGCCATGGCTTTACCAGCCTGCACTCAGGAATCCCATAAAGTAAATCACGCTAGCCTCCCGGATCCCACCCACAGCTCCGCAGGAGAGGCAGATATGCAGCTCTCGGGGCAGGCAGCCCGGGGCAGGCCAACCAACTCTGGTCTTTGTGCTGGGCACCCTGGAAGCCCAGGGCAGGAAGGAAGCTCGCAGGCGGCAGACAGGCATCCGTGTGCAGGACTTTCTCCCACCCTTTCGTAGATAAAAAGGGTCGATTGTGGACCCAGGTGCAGCAAGGATTAAGTGGCAGGCAAGTCCATAATGTGCCCCACAGGAAAGAACAGCAGATTGAAGAGTGGACAGGTAAAACACCCAGCCAACAATGCTCCTACCTGCTCCCTCCGCCTCCCTCCTCCTTCCATGTCCAAGGGCACAAGCTCAAGCCTCAGCCAGTTGCACAATCGCCCATTCTCCGTTTGCAGAAGGCCCAGGAGCCCAGCTGGGGCACAGAAGGAGGCGGAGGAGGGAGGAAGAACCAGGACAACGGCTGCTGCAAACAGTGCTCGCAGCCCGTCAGTGCGCCACCGCCTCCCCGTCCACCACCTTGGTAGCCGGCGCAGGGGGGCGCCCGGGTGGCGGCGTAGTCCGCGCCGCGTCGCTGTCGCCCTCCTCCGGCTCGGCCGGGTGCAGGTGCGTGGCGAGCTCCTGCAGCACGGCTGCGCGCCCGATCTGGTCATTGCGCCGTTTCTCCATGATCAGGTCCTCCAGGCTCTGGAACTCAAGCGTGTGACTGCGCTGCGCAGACAGCTGGATCTGCAGCCGGTAGGGCTGCTTGCCGATGCGCAGCTCGCCGCCGATCTTAAACTCGCGTTTGCCATAGCGGCACCAGGCGGCAAAACTCTCCGAGTTGCGCCAGCTCAACTCGCGCTCCTTGGCGCCCACGTGCGCCAGTGCGTTGCGCACCACAGCGCTGGGACTCAGCGGCTTGTAGCGGTACAGCTCATTGACCACGCGTCCGCGCCGGCCCTGGCTCGCGTCCGTCAGGAAGCTGTTGCTCACCTCCAGCCGGTGCAGGTGCACCACCTGGAAATTGCCCACATACACGGCCCAGTGTGGGTACTGCGCCTGCGACACGAACTCCACCAGGTCACCCGGCTTGCACTTGTTGAGCAGATTCTCCGGGGTGTAGGTGCTTAGGGCCGCCGAGCCAGGAGCGAAGCTCTTTTGGTAGATGCACTCGTCGCGGTAGAACACAGAGCACTCCACCTCGTGCAGCTGTGGGTCGTAGGGCTGCTGCGGCGGGAGTGGCTGCCCGGGCCCGCCATCGGGCAAGCCGCTGCCATCTGGGGCCTGGGCTGGTGGCTGTGGCTCCACGTCCTCATCGTCGTTGGAGAAGATGTAGGAGACCCCGATACGAGGCCCATCGTCCCGGTCCACGCCGGTGGGGTCAGCCGTGGGAACTTCCTTGTAACTTAGGTGGGTCAGCTTCTCCACCTGGTTGCCCATCACGTTGCAGACCCAAGTTCACACCGCCGAGAAGGGAGAAAGCGAAACCCCCACAAAGGTCATTGGGACAGGTTCCCGGACAGGGGCTGGGGCCACCTGTTGGGAGAGGAAGGCAAAAGAAGCCATGCAGAAGGCCCTCCGCGAAGAGGGTGATTTGTTTTTCAGAGCAGGAAGACTGGCAGCCTGCACTTGGAGCCATTTTAGGAGGAGCCTCGAGTGTACGGAGCCTTCTCCACCTGCAGGGTCAGTCACAGGAGTGGGGGCAACTGCTGGTCTCCCCCGGCCCCAACCCTTTCCCTCGCCCGGGCAAAAGGCTACTTCAGCGGCAGCTCCGGCCGCTTCCGCCCGCGCACTACCTGCCCAGCCCGGGCGGACTAGAAGGAAGAGGGAAGAGAAAAGTTTACCCTCGGCTCCCTTTCTCACTCCTCCTCCCACCCCTGGATCCCAACTAGCCCCTGCCACGCTTCCCGTTCTATCCCCGGGGGAACGGGCGAGGATTTCCCCAGAGTGCGGCCCGGCCAGGTGAGCCACCCTACCTGTCTCACCTGCGGCGCTTCCTGCTCCCGGCTCGACCGCCCCTCCCCCGCCCGCCCTCGGGCTCAGGTTACCTGCGCAAACTCACCCGCAGAGGTGGAGGCAGTCGGGAACGAGGGGGGGGGGGCCCGCCGTACCCCGAGACTTCTACACCGAGTTTGCAGGTGTGGGCGCTGCAATCCCTCCTCTCCCGGCGCGGGCAGCAGTGAGGCTGGGCTGCGGGGAGCGACGCATGTCTTTCCCCTGCGGCTGCGTAGCGCCCCAAGACTTGAAGGTGGGGGGTCAATGACTGTTCGCACTGCGCCTCCTTCCTGTGGCTGGAGCTGCTGCTTCCCCTCTCCTAGCTTTCGGGGGGAGGTGGGGCTCGAGAAAAAGGAGAAGGAGAGAGCCTTGCGGCCGGGTGCCGGACGCTCCCCCTCAGGGCCGGGAGCAACAAGCGCCGGAGCGGGAGAGACAGGATTGTAGATCCGGCTCTGGGCTCCCAGGGCGGGAGCGCAGCCCCTGGCATTTAAAGAGACAGGCGCTCGCTGCCCGAGCCCGGGCCTTTACCACACGGCGCCGAGGCGACAGGATCCCCGCCCCAGCCCCGCCCACCCGGGTCGCGCGGCTCCGCCCGGGCCACGCCCCCGCGCCGGTGCGGGTTTAAATCCCTCTGGTAAATAGTCAACCCGCGGGCTGGGCGGGCTCGAGGAGCGTCGTGGTTTGCGTAGCTTCTCCGAACCCGGCTTCCGTTCCTGAGGCTGGCTGCGGGGTCGTTGCTTGCACAAGCCGTATGCACAGTCCGTATCTTTCTGAGCTGTGGCTTTAAGAAGTTGGAAGGCAAAAGCCACCTGCCAGTGTAGAGCTGAGAGACTGAATAAGAGTTATTTGTTCCTTTTTCCTCTTCGCCTCTTTCTTTTCCAGAGTACCTGAGGAAGGAGAAACAGTCACGGGGATATTTGCTTGTTTCTTTTCTTTCCTAGTTTCCTAGAACTTACTTCTTGTCCGGAAGATCACAAAAAAAAAAAGGACTCTTTACAGGGACAGTTGGAGAAGTGCTTCAGCTTAGAGGTGTTTCCACATGAACTGTGCAACTTTGGCATAGGAAAAAGACTAAAACAGAACGAAGATTTAGTTACTGGCTGGCTTCCAAGATCAGCGCTCTATTTATTGAATGTCCCTGGAAGTTCGCACAAAGAGGACTTCGTAACCTCCCATTGTTTCCAGAGAGTTAGCAATTCGTTAGGTAGAAGAGAAAGCTTTCAGGTCTGGCTGTCTTGGAGGTGGGGGATGTAGAAATTGCCTAATTGTCCTTAAATTAGAAATAAATTCGAGGCCCCTGCTGGTTGTATTTCCTTCCTGCTGTCTTAAGGAAGGGAGTGACAGTAGGCAGGTATTATTGCCTGTTATCCTCCAGCACAAGAGAGACATTTCCCCCGTTGCTGGTTTCATTCTTCCTACCTAAGATGTAGGCTATCAAGATGGTTGGTTGATTTAAATAAAGATGGATGGGGCAATCTACTTCCGTAGTGATACTGTCTCAGAAACCCAAGGAGGGGTCGCTGTGAGTCGGGTCCCACTCGATGGCACATAACAACAACAGGGGTGACAGTTCTTTTACAATGGGCAAGCTTAGTGGCTAGGCAGAAGCACTCCAGACTGTTTTGCGGAGGAATGGAGAATGCAACTCAAGATTCCTCTATCCTGTTTTCCATCACTGTTGTATTTGACTAAGTTTTTCCAGGTAACACCATTATTTATTCAATGTTTCCAACCAGTGGAAACAGGAATATGCTACCCCTGCTGTGAACCTTTTTTGGTTTGAGGGAAGAAAAATCAGTCTACTTATGTACTTTTGAGCCTGAAAAATCAATATTGGCAAATCTTTGATGGCCGTTAGTCCTTCAGCAAGTCTCAGATCACAACATAAGTTACAAGGAAAAGAGTCTTCTGTGTTCCTGCTGTGAAGTGAAAATTAAAATGGTTTCAGGCCAGTTTTAGGCCTAATCTACGTGTGACCAGATAGTCCCTGCCTGGGGCCTTCTTGTCTTCATATTATGTCTGGACCATGTGAGGGCCTGTGGGCCCATTTTACACACAAGAGTTGGGCAGAGAGGCAGTGTGGTCAGTCCATGTCTGCAGACTCATCAGCTCTGGCACTGTCCACTGTGGTAGACCACTTTGCCCCTAAGTGGTATTTGACAGACTTAAGAGAATCAGTAGGACACAGTAGAGGGGCAGTTTGCTACCAGCCACTCTGGGGCTGAGAGGAGAAATAACTCCTGTTTGTCTGGGTGTCCAGAGTTGAGTTTTGTTCAGGTATGCAGTAGTGACTCAACAATGTTTCTTGAACCACCGCACTCTAAAGTCTCAGAAGGAATGGTCTCTTAGTCATGTTACTATCCCAGTATCAGGCCCCATAGCAGGTTCTCAAAAACTACTTGCTGAATGCTGTACAAAATCCTCTGCCAAAGATCGAGAATTACTTTGTTGTTTTTTCTTTTTTTAGTAAGGCAATGAATGAACAATTAAAGAGAGAATGCCTTTTGGTAGTCTTGTGTGACGTTTCTCCCATTAATGGTAGTTCACTGGTTAGAATGCTCAGTTGCTAACCAAAAGGTTGGTGGTTCAAAACTACCAGCCACTCTGCAGGAGAAAGATGTGGCAGTCTGCTTCTGTAAAAATTACAGCCTTGTAAACCCTGTTAGGAGGAGCTCTGGTGGCATAGTGCCTTAGGCATTTGACTGCTAACCAGAAGGCTGGCAGTTCAAACCCACCAGTCACTCCTTGGAAAGAAGATTGGGTAATTGTCTTCCGTAATGATACCACCTCAGAAACCCAAGGAGGGGTCGCTATGAGTCAGATGCAACTCAACAGCAATGAGAAACCTATAGGGCAGTTCTACTCTGTCCTCTTGGGGCTCTTTGAGTCGGAATTGGCAGCAACAAGTTTAGAGTTCCCCTTCTCTCTGATCACCTAGAACACTTGGGTAGAGGTTACAAAATGGCTCCCAAACATGTTTTGTTGGGCTCAAATAAGTGTTCAGTAAAGTTAAATGAGTTTCTAATAATTTAAAAACTTCGAGAATTTCGTATAAAAATCCAGATTTCCAGCTCCACTTGAAAAATCTGAAAATATGAGCCCCTCAGGCCTGCATTCCAGGATGGCAACCCAGAGCCGGGACTGAGTAGAGGTGCCCCAGCCCTGCCCAAGATGGCGTTTCCAGGTTTTCCCGGTTGCCATCCTGTCCACCACCTCTCCCGAGGTCCCTTGTCTGGCCCTGAGGGCTTCGGTGTTGGCCTCTGATCCCATACTTGATCCCATACTCCCTGATATCACCTAATTCATGTATTTAAAATGTCTCCATGTGCGAGAATTTGATTGAAAAACTATATATTTTATTGTGATTTGTGTGAAAATTTACAGAGCAAATTCACTTTCCATACAGCAGTTCACATACGCTTCGTCTCATGACATTGACCACAATTCATCACAGTGCAACAGCTCCCTCCCACTTCTTTCTGACAGTCATCTCTTCCCTGTGTCCATCCCTCCATGCACCCCTGCCCCCTGAGCTGTCTCCCTGTGCATAAATAGCCCTTCTTTTTCCCATGATTGTTCTCTCCAAGGAGAGTATCTACCTCAGGTACATGTTCAACTCCTAAGCCTGTTTTTTGTTTGGCTGGAAGCCACAAGTGTGGGTTCAATTACAGACTTGAAGGAGCTAGGGATCATAGTCTCAGTGGTTCCACCAGGCTCTATCAGACCAGCAAACCTGCTCCCACCACCTTTTTTTTTTTTTTTTGCCAAATGATTTT